TCTAAAATAATTTAAATTCTGTTTACATAATTCTCTTGGGCACCTTCTAAAGATGGTAACATGGATACCATAATGTTTTGTCTTTTCCTCCACGACGCGTTGTCCTGCAAGATCGAGTTGCAATAACTGTTTCTAACATATAACAAAATAACATATTAACTGTTTCTAATTCTGCGCTCTAGCTAGTTTTGTATCCTATGCTTTTTTCATATTGATTGAACGAAAATTCATTAACGGCCCTATACAAAATTGTACATATAATTAATCACAATTCAGGAGTGTCATATATCTCTCAATTCCTAATCCGATTGCTAACCTCGTAATGCCCATGATGGCTGAAAAATACTTTACTTTGCCCACAGTAACTATCATTTCGCATGCGCCGCTTTCAATGCTGGAGCGCTATTATAAAATAAAATTCTAACATTTTTCGAAAAATCTTGCGTCTCTTATTTAACTGGCGTATGTTTAAAATTTCTATTCGGTAACCCCAAGCAATTCGAGATAACGCAGAGCGTACTAAATATTATTCATGAGAGTAGCTAATTATATTTTCAAATAATTATATGCATAATAAATAAAGGTTACTGTCAAAAATGAAGGAAAAACCAATTCGGTGGGGGCCTTCGTTTAATTAAGGTTTGCGCACGTTTTCATCAATCCGCTAGCCTCCAGTTTGTAATTATAACGATAACTGGATTAACAATGTTTTTTTTACGTTGATGATATACGTGCACCTGCCAAATGAAAGCTCAGAGACGATCAAAAATTTCTCGAAGATTTAAATTTCGATTTCTTCAGCAACTCAAGGTTTGCATGAGGTAAATATGAGCCCAATTAAAGTCAAAGATCAAGATCCGTAAGACTTTATAATGAGCTTTGGAACTACATTTGACTTATAATTGATGATAAAAGGCAAATTAAATATATTTTAATTTTCTCTTTTAAGTATTTCAATGAAGTATTCTTAACAAATACTCTTATGAGATTCTTAGTAGTCTTGCGAGGATAAGCTAACTCATTAGCATATACTGTATGCCGATGAACAGGTAATCCGGAATTTAACTATAATTTAAAAAAAATGTCAAGGTTACATAGAAAATAAATCTTTGTAAGCGAGTGATAGAGTCTCTCTGGCACCTTAATTTATGCGGGCTACAAGCAACAATATATCTTATTAAATTGCAACAACTGCAGGTTACGCGCGAATTATTAGAATTTTTCTCTTACACGTTGTAAAAACTTCATTTTAAATCAATAAGCGCAGCGCTGAAGACCGCGATCCAAGTACAAGCTGGTCCCTTGAGGGTTTAAAGTGGAAGAGATCTTATTGTGGGGATTGTCATCCGCCCAGCCAGAACTCTCTTTCCTCACCCGCTTAAAAATTGTCAACTAAATACATGTGATCTGACATCAATCATTTTGATGCTGCTAACGTACGCATATATGACCAATCTTTGTGCACTAATGAACGAGCGAGCGATTATTTTTAGGCGCGAGTTCAGTTGATTGATCGTTTAAATTAATGTGGATTTCCCAGATTCTTCTCTTTGGTGTTTTTTTATATATAAAAGTAATATCAAACGAATAATTATATTAATTAATATCCGTTTCCATTTTTGCACTCACTTACCAAAATTCGTCTACCACTTAAATCGTTCATCAGATGATAATCACTCTAATCGGTTTAAAATCTGCATTGTTACGTCATATTAAGATTTCTTATATAGAAGGTTTTTACGGTAATTTCCACCACTATTGTTCGTTACGTTGCTGTAGCTAGACAGCTGAGGTGTTTGTGCGACCTCATCTTTACGCGCGCGGTTACTACGGCGAACTAAAGTTTCGGACTTCACGAGCGAAAAACATCCGCAGTTCATCTATTTATACAGGAAAGTAAAATAATATAACTGAATCGTGAAGAACACAAAAAACTTAAACTTGTTGGCAGCGAAGTAAATATTTTAATTACACAGAAACGCATTTGGGGAGGGGGGGCTGTAAATTTGACATTACGTGTGCATACCGCAGCCAGAGGATTTAAGTGTTAGTCTATTATTTTTAGTGAAGATTTTATTATGAATTTCAATGAATTCTGCATGCGTTCGGGGCTTGGCTGCATAGGGCAAATTTCAAGCTATTTCACCGAATTATAACAGTCACATTTTTGTACCAGGCAATAAGACAAAAACAGTGATATAATATGCATTTAAATTTTTGAAGCATTTAAATTTTTCACATTGGGAAATGTACATCGGATTGTTGTTCGCAAAAGATAATTAGAAAAGTAATTCTTCTGCCTGAAAAGACTCACCGTGTTAGATTATGTATTCGTAAATATAATAAAATCAATTAGATTTAAATAATGTAAAAGTTAATTTATTTCACTAATTTAAATTATTTAATATAGTTTTTCCTTAATTTATTCAATCTCTAATTGTGACGATTACAATTATTTAATTATTATATATATTAAAAGTGATTTGTACAGTGTGACTCTTCGGAGCAATCCTTATGCCTGGGTATGAACTTTTGGTTTCTTTTAAATTACTCAGTCTTGGATGAGTACCGGAGAACCCGTGCAATTAAAGAAATTCCTCTTGAAGTTTATGGTTGCTGTGTTGTGGCTAATAAGAGACACTGCAGCTTTGGTGGACAGTAAATAGTTTATTTTAACATTTTCTGTGCTATTCTGGATATTTTATAATATAGCACATATATGTTAAACATTACTCGAGTCTAGGCACTTTGCCATGTCATTTGATATTTACTTATCTCAAAATTTCAAATCTATGACTAAATGGAGTGTTTTTATTACGTAATTTAATTTAATTTCATATATTCTGTTTTAGTGGATTCTCATTTCATCTTTAAATAGATTCAAAACGAATAATTTATTACCAAAACCATTACGATCCATTTCCCACTACGTATGCATCGCTTCCTCGCTCCTATATGTAGAGAACTGCAGTCCTGCGACCTTGGAAGTGTAGGTAATCAAAGCACCTAAGCCTCTTAAGACGTGAACGCCATATGCGCGTCGGCGATATTGTAAGATGGCTCACTAAGACGGGCATGTTGTATGCATTGTTGCACTCATCTTCCCATTAGGAACTTTATGCAGCACATAAATTACGAGGTTTTTCTCAAATCCGACAATATTGCTAAAAAACATATTTATAAGTCAGAAATCGCTTCTGAATTGTGTATTGATAATTAATTGTAAAATTGGTGCGCAAAACGTTAATTAGAAAACTTTTGAACTAATTTCGTTTCGCAATTTAAACAAAAATTGAACCGGAATTACAATGCGATGCAATTTTTAACTATTTAAAAAAGAAATTCGTTTTAGAAGGTCACAATCAAAAAGTATTATTTCATCGTTTTTACAACGAATGAATACTTCGAAATCATAGCAATAATATAAGTTGGAGCAACCTTGAAGTTTCAAGGCTGGAAAAGATATGTATCTCCTTTCAAAATATCAACGTCATTGAGTGCTCGGAAAAACTACAAGCCGATGTGATAAGACTGGAGGCTACATATGTAAGCTTTATTAAATTATTCTCAATATTAAAAATTTATGCATGTTCATCAAAGTTTAACTCTTTCTTATGCAAGTGTCTGAGTTGTAATTAACGTTTACATGAAACTTTGAATTTTTTGCATTTTATTATTTAATTAAATTTATTAAAGTGGCTCTTGGAAATAATAAGTTCTTTACTATTTCTTATTTCTCAGCAGTTCGATTATATAACACCTCTTGAGTTGAAAAACCGCCATAAATATTCTCATCAACTTAAATTACGATCACTAAAATATTATTCCAACATTACGATTTCTTTCTTTACCTCTGACGACAGAGAAAGAAATCGTAATGTTGGAATAATATTTTAGTGATCGTAATTTAAGTTGATGAGAATATTTATGGTGTTTCTTCAACTCAAGAGGTGTTATATAATCGAATTGCTGGGAATTAAGAAATAATAAAGAACTTTTTATTTCCAACAGCCCCTTTAATAAATTTAATTAAATAATAAAATGCAAAAAATTCAAAGTTTCATGTAAACGTTAATTACAACTCAGACACTTGCATAAGAAAGTTAATAACTGGAATCGCTGCTGCAATATAACCATTCCTAAAACTTAAATGCCAACAAGACGCCAAGTCAATTCATCCTATCTGCCATGAAAACATTTCAGAGACCATCTCCATCAACAGTTAATCAACTAAAAATTTAAAAGCGAAGTGAAGCGAATATACAAATTTGTGTTTACAAATTTACTAATATTAGACATAGAAAAAGAAGTAAAATAACATCGGCAAAACTTATTTATTTACAGTTTATAGTGGATGGGAGCACAAGGCTGCATTTAACTAGTTCCCTCTTTGAGAATGTATAATGATTCTAAAATACGCTGATCGCAGTTACTGGGCAGTTACTATCGCGCCCTCCTCATTCGGCTATGCGCACACACGGCGAACAATGCCACGTTACAGTGCACGACACTGACTTTAAGCTTTGGCTTCAAGTTCTGGGCCTATACTTTAAAAAAAAGTTAAGAGATCGTAAGTTCATCTGCCAATCATTGACGGCCTTTCAAGCAAAATCCACCAATCATAGATACGAGAATACAGCGTAAGTACTTAATTACGTTCACTTAGCGAGTTTTGAAAGTATGACCTCTGTGTGCTTCCAATCTACGCATATTTAAATAATTCTCTATTTTCAAAGAGAGGACTAGTTTGAATTCAGCGTTTAGCACTTATTCACTAGAAATTGTAAATAGGTAGACTTGCGATTTTAAATCGATATTGACACGAAAGATATTATAACCTAAGTAATGAGAAAACAACAAACGAAACGAAAACGAAAAACGTCTTCCTTATGTTCTTGGAGAACTTGCGATTTGAGCAGACTAATCGTGTAAGTTCTTATATAAGCCATTCGACAGCAATACATTTTTCATCACTGCTCAGTTTGAGATCGCTTACGGCTTTAAGTCTTCCTCGACGTCAAATGATAATGAGAATTCAAATTTATTCTGCCCTTCAAAGCCAGAACCGCGATAAAAAAATCAGCGCAAGAAATCAGGATATACTGAGTACTCACCTCGCATTTTGGAAATTCTTGAATGACGGCATCTTTTTTCCATCCCAATAAGGGAGGGATAGAGACGAGCCCTGAGAACACCCATACCAAGATGATCATGATGAGTGAACGCTCAGGAGTTCGCTTCTTGAGGTAGGCCACAGCGTGGGTTATGCTCCAATAGCGGTCTAAAGATATCAGACAAATGTTGTTGATACTTGCTGTAGACAATAATACGTCTATAGCGCTGTGCAGCTCGCACCACCAGTGTCCGAATATCCAGTAGCCCATGAGGAGATTCGCTAAACTGAAAGGCATGATGACAAGCCCAAGCAACAGGTCGGCCACTGCCAAGGACGCAATGAACCAGTTCGTTATGTTCTTCAGTGATTTTTCCGTCGCAATGGCGATAATGACCAGCATGTTACCCACAACTACAACCACCATCACACTGGTCACTATCACGGCCAGCAAAATGATTTGCATCCATGTGTATCCTGAAGGGTAGGTGTCATATTCATAGATGAAGTTTGTTTCATTGTAGGTCGAGTTGGCAACGATTTCTGTGTAATTTTTGGTTAGAGAAATTTCAAAATCTAGGAAAGTTATCACCTCTGGTGGCCTGATTGTTGGCAGTGTTCGAGGTTCCACAAAATCTTCAAGAAATGGACCATCGGGGCCGAGGAACGGCCCTCTTTCCATCCTGGGGGGTTTGCTCCCCATCATGATGCTAATGAGGATCCAGACGGAAATTTGGTGTTGTCCACCATATCTACAGTGCGTTCAATATACTTGACGAATTATTAGCACGGAAATCCTGTTTTGATTCCCGGAAGACTAGCAGCCAAATTGCCTTCCAGTTGGCCTTTTCATTAGACGAAAATCTCATTTCTGAGGTAGCCTTACATCGATCCAAATTCCTCATCATTTTGGTTTCTCGAGGCTTTTCATGAAATCGTCTGCAAATCTTGTTATTAAGATAGAATGGAGCTTATAGTCAGCAGTCAAGATTTTTTCCAGTCGAGGACAGAATTCACTTCCTCTGCGGAACACCACAAGCTTAACAATTTCCGGCAGGGAACAAAAAGCGTTTATCCACCTGAATCAAATGTTAACCCACACATTTGAAGTGCAGCTTTCTCTTTATTTCATGAATATTTCATTTATATCAGTGATAGAATTTGAATGTTTTATTCATCTAAACCGTCGCATAAGCACCACTAAACGCAACTAAAAACTTGAGTAAAATTTACGGATTTCATGTCGGTTGGCCTAAAGTTCCTTATCGTTTATTCATTTGTCGCATTGGTTGCACGCTCGATTCTTTTCTACGATTGCATGGACTCGCCATGGAACCAGATTATAAATTTAAATCACATTAATTTTAAAACACTATTTGCAATTAGATAAACTGCTTTTTGTTCTGGTAAAATTTTGTGAAAGCAAAGCACAATAAAAAATCGCGCAAAGAGTAAAAAATGGACTTGAAATATTGTGATAACCAAGACTTCATTTGGGTTGAGATTAAGAACTCATTATTTCGCTGGCACGTCTGACAACACTTGTATTGGTGCGTCCAACTGAACGTTTTCTTACAAATATTTCGTCCCTGTAAAACTTATGGCTCTCAAATTTCAATTGCAAATACTCGGTCATGAATATTTTTTGGTTTAATTTTAATTTTACATATGAGAAAAAAGTTCAAAATTTTCACGACAATACTCGACGCATGCTTGCAATGCTCAGTGACACAATACCCTTCTTCAAACCAGATGAGTTCGGTTTTAAATCAACAACGAAAAAATGTCCATCCCATTCGCAAGTTCTGTGGTGGAATTTCAAGTTTGGCACCGACACTGAACGACGGAACTGTTGAGTCGAAGCTCCTCTCGCACTCGCACCCCGAGAGTGACTGGCACTGGTGGCACTACGGAGCCTGGCACCAGCAGAGAGCCACGCAACAGTTCCCTCCCTCTGCCGACGACACCCTCGTCTTTCCTTTAACAATCTTCCTGCTTCGTTTCAGGAAACGATCTCCACTGGTTTCAAGATTCGACTCTTGTTTGCGGCGAAATTTTTGTTTCCCTCATCATATGGCAAAAATATTGGCAATGCGTCACAATAAAGCAACTAATACAAACATTATTAGCAAGGCTTTACATGATTTGTCCAATTACCCGCTAACTCGAACAACTCGTTAATAAACGAATACCTCTTTACACACTATCTATTCGTTATCTATTTTCGGATCTATCCATTCGTTATCTATCACCCTAAATTATCTATTTTAAGAGAACGTGCTGAGTTTCAATGTAGGTGTTATATGTTGCAGAAATGTTACACATGTTGCCAAAGCCATTCATAATTCATCGATAATACTGAAATTCAGAAGTTAAGCTACCAATGGCACCATATGATTCATTTAGTGAGATAACTTCTCATTAATCTCATGCGTAAACGTTTTACGCCTCAGCAAGGTTTGCATATACAGTCATACTGTATGTTGCAGTTTGTTTGATGGTTTCCATAAACTCTACGGATATACTGCCCAATATTTAACTATTAGTTAGTAGACATTATTATGCGATTAACATTTTAAGATAAAGCAAAGAGATATGTCTGTTAAACTTACGACAGTAAAAGATTAAACGCAAGAAACGTGAGGAATCATGATACTTTCGTGCACGAGTTATACGTTGGTCGATAATTGCACATTTTAGTGTCAACATTAATACAGTGTTTATTCAGAATGAATTGCCGTTCATACGAATACTTTTAGTAATTCTAGATGCGTGTAACACAGAGTTTTGTCACGGATATGGGAAATTTAAGACCATTCTTGCGTTCTAATCATTATTTTATAATAATTAAACTGGATAGCTGTTAGAAAATGCCGCTGCACTACTCAGGAACCGGTCGCCGAAGTGTTATTAAATTCCACAAATTCAAACTGTTTGTAAATTTGTTTCAATCGCCATTAGGCCTATTTAAATGGGGCTTTAGCCCCTCTAATGTATCCTGAAGCTCCTCTAATTTTTTGGCGTTCTTTCTGTAATGGGACTTCACTATAAGTTTGAATAAATAATCATTTGAGCATTCATGAATAACTTAAGCATGATCATAAATCTTAGAGAGCGTATATCTTAATTGTCATCATAGCCTACGGGCATATTTTTCCCCTGTCCTAAAAACCTAGCGATGTCTCTGTTTGGCTCCCCACAATATTTTCTCGGAAATCGAAGAAAGTCTTTCGTAATCAAGTGAAGGCGAACTAGCGCTATTTTCTAACTAAACAATTCTTCTTAAGTAAAGGTTTCGTCTCCAAGTAAAACTTTAACGTCGACGTCATTAATAAAAAACTATTACAAGGGAAGCTGAAGACCGGCAAGCTTGCGGCAAGTAACAGGACTCTCGTCCAGCACTTCAAGTTTGTCCGGAAAGACACAAACTATAGAGCAGGGAAGTGGAGCCGTTCAGCAAATGGTTTGTGGAGTATTCTTGCTCACGAACTTTTCCCTGAAACTTTCGTTTTGTTCTCGCTTCAGATTCTGCAACCATTTTCCGGACTAGAATGAGCAAGTGGCTTCGTTATGGGCCTTGCATTTAATTCCGACGTGTTTTTTTTCTGGCCACAATTAAGACAGTTTGTATACTTTATTTTTAAATATAATATTGTATTTGTGTCTCTATACAATTAGACCAGCTGGATTAATCCACAAAATTTATTGCAGTCACATTTACTTAATTATGTTTTTTTAATTTCTTATTTATATAAGTTAAAAAATTTATTATTTCATGCTTATGCATCCCAATGGAAAACCATTTTACCTGCTAGTCGTGTTTTTTCAAGAGGTCCCGCTGGTGACATGGGAAGTTTGTCGTTGCCTTCATTTAATTTTGATGCGGTGTTCGTGCAGTCTGGTGGTGTGAGAAGTTTCTTCTGTCATCACGTAAAATTTGTGACAGCGCTTGAAATTATTATTGCCGAGGTGAATACATGCACGCATTTGTTACAAAATTTATTTTGTACGAGATTTACATTTTTTCCCATTGTGCTCTTTAAGGGTAATTCTCACACGCTATGACGTTATTAGAAGCATCAATTTTTTTTTTATTTTCTAGGAGGATTGGGCGTTTGCGTGTTGGCCTGTTTATTTATGGTTCTGAAATTTTAAGCTGTCCTCGCCTAAATAAATTTTTACATTCGAAAGGTTAAATTGTCAATTTTACTGGAACACAACATACTGTTTACCAAGAAGAGGCAGCAAATTCTAATACGTTTCTTATGGAATCACACATCTTTCATTATGTAATATCAAAATATGTTTTTAGCCACTCCCATGAAAATAGATGTGTATGTGTGTAACAATTTCTCATTCCTTCCTATAGAGAACAAAATTTTTTTGCACACTCTAAAAAATTAATGGGCCATATTGTTGAAATAGTGACGCACTTCTCTTGCATGTAGAAATGATACGCGTTAATTTATGCCTGGCCCAACTGGAAAAGCATGACACTCAAAAGGCCAAAATTTCATCGGCATCTGGACGAAGTTTTACTTATTATTCTGAGTTTATGGATCCAGTTCTGTGCGATGATATTTTCTCCGTTCAATGTTTCTTCTCCCTTATGTATGTCGAGTTAATATTTTTTTAACAGTTGGTTAAATATGTTAAGTGAACAATTTGCATTTTGAACAGTAAACAGGTTGCTTATGTTATACGCGCTTCATTATTAAATTCTTTGATGTGTAATGATAATTGTTAAATTCCGTGTGCACTTTACGTAGTCACATATAGTAATGATGTTGAATACATTTATTTTTTTATATTTTTTTTTTTGCATTTTTACGAACATTTTCCTTGCATTTATAACGTTTATCCTCAATAATTACAATTGTACAAGCGTTTTCTGCCGTTTTTCGCACAGTGCAACAACTGAGGTGCCCTACTATCTTAATCAGGAGCCTGTTTGTCCGTGGGACGATATTGAGAGGTCCGCTCTCATCGGACCGTCCCACGGGCGTCTCATGGGTCCTGTCCGCGTCCATTATTAAACTAAGCTCATCCATTTAGGGACTGTGACCTGGCTTAGTACTTGGCTGCACTGAATGACCTGATCCGGCTTCATTGTTTGTTTATAAACTAATTTTAAAGCTTTGTTCATAAACTGTGTCTATGACTACCACTCGGAAATGAAAGTTGATATCAATAATGAACGATTACATTTATATCAGAAATAACATCTCTTGCAATTCATTTAAATGGTTGATGTACTTCCGGGGTGATGGGGAATGTCAAATTTTTGCGCATGTCCTAAAAATTTCAAAACCAATTTTGCGATATGCCTTGATGCAATTAAATGCTGTTTATTCGACGTCCTTAAAAATGCTGTTTTATTCCTGAATTTGTCACCTTGAAAACACTCGTGATAATAGTTTGATTTCTTTGGCCCAAATTTCAAAATCAGTAAATGTCTAACTCAAATAACCCAATGTCTGTGAAATCCGTACTGGATTCACGAAAATGCATCGGTAGGTACAATTAATATTAACATTAAAATTATTCTGTAAGGACATCATTCAAAACAAACCAGAGCAAGACGCAACCGTGATGAGAAAATGAGCCGTGCAAAATACAATAATATTTTCCTAACAAAGAATGACGGATTCCACCCTGAAGATCGTAAGTTCCCCGCTATGAAATTATGCGTGCATCATCAAT